CGGTTTTCAAAATTATTATTATTATTATTATTTTTATCCAAAACATGACTTAAAATTTAAACTCCCCCAAAATCGGTTTGTTCACTTAAAAAATTTTTTTTTTTTTTGACTCGCCTTGCTATATTCCGAAAAAAATTGAAAATTCTGACTTGAAAAAGGAATATGTTTATCGAAAACTTGGCACCAAAATCGATTTTTCATAATTATTGACCCGCATTCTGATAACTTAACCAAAATGAACATCTTTGCACATCGAAATGCGTGCCACACACTCGAACACCCAAACACTTCATTTAGCACCCATTCATGCATCATAAAACGTGTAGTACCTAGGCTATCATGAAAAATATGAGCGATGACCTACGAAACAAACTAAACTCAAACAAATTCCTAAACTAATGCAATGCAATAAAATAAATTTAAGGATACAGTGGGTTGCCTCACACTCAGCGCTAGGTTCTAGTCGATAGCTCGACTTTACCGTATTGCGTCATTCTGGCGATCCAAGATGGACGGTAGACTTGTCCTTTGAAAAATCACCGCCTCAATAGTGCTTCAAACGCTGTCCATTAACTTTGAATGTCCTCTTGCTGTCATGAGTGATCTCAATTGCCCCATGTGGAAACACCTGTGTAATGGTATATGGACCAGACCATCTCGATCTCAATTTTCCTGGAAACAGTTTAAGCCTGGAGTTGTAGAGTAGCACTTTGTGCCCCACCTTAAAGTCACATCTCTGAATATGCATGTCATGCCATTTCTTAGTGTGCTCTTTGTAGATTCTTGAATTCTCGTAGGCTTCCAGCCTGAGCTCATCCAGCTCATTAAGTTGTAAGAGCCTTTTTTCGCCCGCAGCCTTCAAATCCAAGTTTAATTTCTTCATCACCCAATAGGCATGGTGTTCGATCTCAAGAGGTAGGTGGCATGCTTTCCCAAAAATCAGTCGATACGGTGACATACCTATAGGGGTCTTGAATGCAGTCCTATAGGCCCATAAGGTGTCATCTAGTTTCTTTGACCAATCCTTTCTTGATGAGCCAACTGTGACTTCGAGTATTCGCTTCAATTGCCTATTGGATACTTCGACCTGTCCGCTGGTTTGGGGATGGTATGCGGTGGCTACACGGTGCTTAACGCCATATTTTGCTAACAACTGCTCGAACTGACGATTGCAGAAATGTGTGCCCCTGTCACTGATTATGGCTCTCGGTGTTCCAAACCGGGTAAAAATGTTTTTCTTTAAAAATTCAATCACCACTTTCCCATCATTGGTAGGCAATGTAACAGCCTCGACCCATTTCAATACATAATCCACAGCCACTAATATGTATTGATTTGAAAAAGATGGTGGAAATGGTCCCATGAAGTCGATCCCCCAAACGTCGAATAATTCCACCTCTAAGATACTATTCAAAGGCATCTCATTTCTTCTAGATATGTTACCTGTGCGCTGACATCGATCACACCTTTTCACAAATTCAAAAGCATCTTTAAAGAGTGTAGGCCAGTAAAAACCTGATTGAAGAATCTTCGCAGCTGTTTTCGAAGCACCAAAATGCCCTGCATATATTGATGAGTGGCAGTTTTCTAATATCAAAGGCACCTCTTCCTCTGGTACACAGCGACGAACAATTTGATTAGCCCCCCGCCTGTAGAGAATGGGATCTTCCCAAAAATAATACTTCAATTCAGCGAAGAATTTCTTCTTCTGGTGACTTAAATAATCTGACGGTATGATAGACCTGGCTAAATAGTTAACTATATCTGCATACCAGGGTGTTTCCATCACACCAAAAATCTGTTCGTCTGGGAAGATATCATTTATTTCCACTGTCTTTATCCGTTCTGTGTCCTCAAGCCGAGAGAGGTGGTCCGCTACCACGTTTTCACTGCCTTTCTTATCCTTAATTTCCAAGTCAAACTCTTGAAGTAGTAATATCCAACGAATGAGACGTGGCTTAGCATCCTTCTTTTCCATTAAGTACCTGATAGCGGCATGATCTGTGTAGACTATGACCTTCGACCCCACAAGGTATGATCGAAATTTGTCAAATGCATAGACTATAGCAAGAAGCTCTTTCTCCGTAGTGGCATAATTTAACTGAGCATCGTTCAAAGTCTTACTTGTATAGTAGATCACGTGAAATACCTTATTCCTTCGTTGACCCAACACGGCTCCCACAGCATAATCACTGCCGTCATACATTAATTCAAATGGCAGATTCCAATCCGGTGTGATAATTACAGGTGCTGAAGTCAACTTCTCTTTCAAAGTGTTAAAGGCCTGTAGACACTCATCAGTAAACTCAAATGTGGATTCCTTCATCAATAAACAGCATAGAGGTTTGGTAATTTTTGAGAAATCCTTGATGAATCTTCTATAGAACCCTGCATGACCAAGAAAACTACGAACACCTTTTACTGATGTAGGTGGAGGTTGTTTCTCGATTACTTGAATCTTTGCTCTATCTACTTCAATGCCCTTCGCCGAGATTCGATGCCCTAGTACGATGCCTTCTTTTACCATAAAGTGACATTTCTCCCAATTCAACACCAACTTGGTCTCCGTACACCGTTGTGGCACAAGACTTAGATGCTCCAAGCACTCATCAAATGAAGATCCAAACACAGAGAAGTCATCCATGAATACCTCGATGAATTTCTCAATCATGTCTGAGAAAATAGCCATCATGCAGTGCTGAAAGGTAGCGGGAGCGTTGCATAATCCAAATGGCATCCTTCTGTATGCAAAGGTGCCATAGGGGCAAGTGAAAGTGGTCTTCTCCTAATCGTCTGGTGCCACTGGAATCTGATTATACCCGGAGTACCCATCTAGGAAACAGTAATGTGAATGTCCCACTAATCTCTCCAACATCTGATCAATGAACTGTAATGGAAAGTGATCCTTTCGAGTAGTTGTGTTAAGTTTATGGTAGTCAATGCAAACTCTCCATCCAGTCACTGTCCGTGTAGGAATCAACTCATTTTTCTCATTTTCTGTCACCGTGATTCCTCCTTTCTTGGGGACAACTTGCACCGCACTGATCCATGCACTATCTAATATTGGATAAATAATGCTTGCATCGAGCAACTTCAATACCTCAGCTCTAACCACTTCCTTCATGTGTGGATTCAATCTCCACTGCCCATCAATGCTTGGTTTGAATTTTTCCTCCATGAGTATCTTATGCATGCATATAGACGGGCTGATCCCTCTGATATCTGCAATTGACCATCCAATGGCTATTTTATTCTCCCTTAGCACCCGAAGTAATTTCTCTTCCTCTACCTCACTGACAATGCTTGATATAATAACCGGTAGTGTAGAAGATTTCCCCAGGTACGCATATCGAAGATGTGGTGGCAGTTGTTTGAATTCCAATTTGGGAGGTTTTACAATAGATGGCACTGATTTTGCAGTCCTAGTTCCCAGCTCTTCATAGTAGCGTTTGCGCATATATGGCTGGTTACTTTCCAAAAACCGAGCACATGTCTCAATCTCACTTGAATCAGAATGGGTGGATTGTGAATGTGCAATGCATGCCTTGTATGCATCGGAAGGATGATGTAGCCGAAATGTGTCTTGAACTATTCGGTCGACTACATCGATCTGAAAACAACTGTCTGCCTCAGTAGGGAATTGCATTGCTTTGAACACGTTGAATGGGATTTGCTCGTCACCAAGCCTCAATATTAGTTGCCCTTTCTGAACATCGACAATTGCTCTTCCAGTGGCTAAGAAAGGTCGCCCCAATATGAGTGGAACATTCTTATCTTCTTCCATGTCCAAGATGAGAAAATCGGCTGGAAATATGAACTTCTCCACTTTTATCGGGACGTCTTCAATGATCCCTCTTGGATGTGTAAGGGATCGATTTGCTAACTGCAATGTGACTGTTGTGGCTTTTGCTTCTCCCAAGCCGAGTTTCCTGAAAACAGAGAGAGACATTAAATTAATACTTGCACCTAAATCACATAAAGCCTTATCAAAATGACAATTTCCTATGGTGCAAGGTACAGTAAAACTCCCTGGATCTTTTAATTTTGGAGGTAGTTTTCTTTGGATTTTGGCACTGCATTCCTCAGTTAGCATCACTGTTTCGTTTTCCTCTATCTTTCGCTTGTTGGAGAGGATATCCTTCAGGAGTTTTGCATAGCTCGGCATCTGGACAAGTGCTTCAGCAAATGGGATGTTGATGTGCAGTTTCTTGAAGACTTCAAGGAACTTACTATATTGCTGATCCATTTTGTGCTTTCTCAACCTTTGTGGAAACGGAATAGGAGGCTCATGAGGGTTGACAGGATTAGTATTTTTTCCCTGTGATGTCTTGGAATTCTTCTTAACCTCATCTCCTGTTGCATTGTTAGTTTGCTCCACAATTTCTTCCTCCCTGGCCCCCGAGCTTTTTACATGTGGCTCCGGCAGTTGTACTCCACTTCTGGTTATTATAGCCTTCGCGTGTTCCTTAGGGTTGACTTCAGTGTTGCTAGGTAGGTTGCCTGGTGCTCTACCCGTCATGGAAATTGCCATTTGTCCCACTTGTGTCTCTAAGTTCTTGATTGCTGTACTTTGATCTTGAAGAGTTGTTTCTGTCCTTCGCATAAATTGGTTGTTGGCTTCCATGTACTGATTTGTTTGTACCATGAATTTCTCAAACATGTCCTCCAATGGTGGCTTTTTGTCTTGCTGCTGATATTGCCCTTGTGGTCTATTTTGATTCTGATTAGCCCACGAGAAATTTGGGTGTTTTCTCCAGCCTGGATTGAAGGTTTCTGAATGTGGGTTATTCTGCTGGCACTGACCCCATTGTGCAAATTCTGCATGTTCTACTCCTTGTGCTAGAATTGGGCAAGTAGCAGTACTGTGATCTGCTCCACATTCTTCACAACTCTGCTTCATAACTTGCTTAGCAGTGGCGGTTTGTGAAATACTTTCAACCTTATGGAATAAGGAATCTATTTTCGCCGACAGTGCTGAGTAAGTATCTACTTCATACACCCCAGGTGCTCTCTTCTGAACTACTCGATCTGTAGACCACATAGCTGAAGTTGTAGCCATCCTCTCAAACAGCTCCCAGGCTCCGTCAATTGTTCTTGTAGAGATAGACCCGTAAGATGATGCATCCACCATACTCTTGAATGTGGGAGTAATCCAGTGTAGAAAAATCTGATCTGGGTCTTCTTGTCAAAGCCATGTTGCGGGCACTTCCTTAACATGTTCTTGAAACGGTTCTATGCCTCTTCAAATGATTCTGACTCGATCTGGTTGAATATTGAGATGTCATGCCGCATTTTAGCTACTTTAGCTGGCGAGAAGAACTTGGTGCAGAATTTATGAGCTAGCTCGTTCCAAGTAGTGATGCTTCCGACAGGGAGTGAATCCAGCCATTCAAGTGCTTTATCCCTCAAGGTGTGCGGGAACAAGCGCAGTCTTATAGCATCATTGGAGATACCTTGGTATCTGAAGTGTTGACACATATCAAGAAATCGAGATATGTGTGTATGCGGATTCTTACTAGCCATCACATGGTATTGATGCCCATTCTGAAACAGTTGAATCACGTTTGTCTTCAGTTGGAAGTTCGGTTGCCCAAATGGAGGATATACAATACTAGATTGACTTTGCACCACCAATGGTGACATGAAATCCCCAAGTACCGTATTTCCATCCTCTTCCACTGCCAAACCTTCGTTGAGTGAAATTCCCGATCGATTTTGCTCGTTAGCCATTTGTTGTACCACTCTTGCTTTCCTTTGCCTGTGACGGAATGTGCGTTCGATCTCTGGATCTATAGGGACCAAGTCTTGATCAGGTGCTCCTCGCATACAAGCTCTGATATGACAGAATTAACACAAAAATTCAATATAAACAATAATAAAATAAATCTAATAAAATTAACAAGTACTAAACTAAATAAGTTCGAATTAGTGTCACAAAAGATAGAATTAAAACTAAAATTCAATCCCCGACAACGGCGCCAAAAACTTGTTCACGAAACATTTCTTTTAATTTTAAAATCCCACCGCAAGTGTACGGTTCGTTAGCAAGTAGTAAAATGGACTATGAGTCCAAGTATCGTTCCCACAAGGATTGAATTAGCTCTAATTAAACTAATGTGACCTTAACCGAATCCAATTGAATGAAAATTTGGTCTAAGCGTGAAAAGCCCTAATTTTGGAAGAAACCCTAATTTCGAAATTGTAAACCCTAATTTCGAAATTCCCCTAATTAAATGACTCAACAACTCAATTAAAATGTAAATATGCAATTTTGGAAGTTAATGTATAGAAATAAATTGAAATAGAATCATTAGGATCTCGAATCCCCAATTGATTACCAAAAATCCTAATTTCACAAATTCAATGAATCGATGGAAAAATGCCAATTCAATGTTCCTAAACCTATCCAATATACTCTCTCGATATATATTAAACCTACTCTTGAATACCACCACCCTATATTTCTATGGATGATGCAAATATACAAGAATGCATGAATTTCTATGAACAATTAACGAATTGCATAAGTATAGGGGTATATTTCTATCCCCTATCGGACCCTATGTTGATTTATATTTTATCGAATCTATTCCACCTCTCTCGAATGTAAGAAATAAATCATCTAATCTCACATAATATATGGCCAATAATTATGGATGCAATGAAAACATATAAATCAAGCATATTATCCAAACGAAACTTTATATTGAATTCATGAGATATAAGAATTTAATAGTAATCAAAGGTTCATCGATCTCCTAATGAATTTAAAACCCTAGCCTACAATCATGATTACCGAATCAAGAAATAAAAATGAAATTAAAAGATATAAAGAATACACTCGTATGAAAATCCTTATTTTCTTGTATGAAATCTTGAAATCCTTCTTGAATCCTTGTGAAATCAATCCAAGATTGTGTTTTTGTGTCTCCAATTCATCTCTCTGGTCATTCCCCCCTCTTCTGGACGTATTTTCGTATCTTATATCGCGTCCAAATTAGGTTAAAAAAAGAGTTGGAGTCGAAAAAGGAAACTGTAGAAACGCCCCGAAATTATACCTATGCGACCGCATAGAAGGATCCTATGCGATCGCATAGGTCACTTGAAATTCATCAATTTTTCCCTGCATCCATCTATGCGACCGCATAGATGGTTACACTATGCGGTCGCATAGTTTGGCCATCTATGAAGTCCCTTCATTTTGGTCCCCGAACCTTCCTTGTTGCTTCTTTTGACTTCTTTCTTCGATTTCTTCATTTTTTCAACAAATTTTATCCTCCAATTGATGATTGACACCATCAAATCTCATGCCACTCATTCGGCTCATCTTTCGAGTATTTGCGCTTTAGTCCTCCAACTTTCAATTGTCTTCATTTCAGTTCCTCTTCAATACTTTCTCCCTCCAATTGTTTTGCTTTATCCTTAAGCTCATACTCGGCATGTTGTTACTCTCGTTTTGCATTTAGCTCAACTTCTCAATATTTGCACCTTTGGTCCTCGAACTATCACTTTGTTGCGTTTTGGTCCTTCTTCGGCTCTTTTCTCCTGAATTCCACAATTTCCATTGAAATACCTACATTGCATGAATTTAACTAGATTAAGTCACAATTCAACCATTTTATCCATGTTTAAGTCAAGTTTCTGAACCAAATAAGTGTGTAAAAACATACTTATCATTAGCCTTATTCCAAACGATAACATCTGATATGTTTTTCAAAGAAAAAATTTGAAGAAGACTGCGTCGGGATAAGTAGTCAATGACTTTGAACTTTCCCTAGTAAAATCTATCGGAATTCCTTAGCCAATCAGTAGCAAGTTGCTTTGAACAGTCAGCCGTTTACAGAAACCTAGACAATAGAAGTCACACAGTTTTCTTCGAACACAGTTGGTTCTCACGTTTGTGTCCATTTTGGCCTTGGACACCTCCTGGTTCATGAGTGGTTTTTAGAGAATTCATCTTCACCTAATTCTCTTAGAAGCGGCCCCTTCTCACTCACATAGGTGATTTCCATAAAGAGTATTCTACTATACTCCACTTGAACAAATAAAGATATAGAAATCATTAAAAGCGTATCTTAACCTATTTCGCGACAACTGGGCACTGGCTCATCATAGGAATGGGTAGAAGTAAAAACTTCCCAGTGCATACTAAGTTTTTCACAGTTTAGTTGTCCCATTGAACCTAGATCTTGGGGATCTCCAGTCAACTAGGTTGGGTTGCCACCATGGAAACTTTTGATTATTTTATTAGTTTTAATCCCATTCCCTTCGATGAACTTTCGACTTGCTCTCTTGTTAAATTTTTAGTTAGCGGATCTGCAATATTCTCTTTTGATTTCACATACTTTATAGAGATAATGCCTGTAGAGAGCAATTGTCTAACAGTATTGTGTCTACGACGTATATGTCGAGATTTATCGTTGTACATTTTGTGTCATTCCAATTGCTGATTGACTATCGCAATGGATACATATAGCAGGCACAGGTTTTATCCAACATGGAATATCTTCTAGAAAGTTTCGTAGCCATTCGGCTTCTTCTCCGACTTTGTCTAATGCAATGAATTCAGATTCCATTGTTGATCTAGCTATACATGTCTGTTTTGAAGATTTCCACGATATTGCAGCACCTCCAAGTGTAAAGACATATCCACTTGTTGATTTGGAGTCTTTAGTATCTGATATCCAATTTGCATCACAGTATCCTTCAAGTACTGCTGGATATCTCGAATAGTGCAATCCAAAATTTTGGGTATGTTTTAAATACCCTAAAACTCTAACAATA